TTGAACATTTAATTTTGTTGTCACCTACGGTATATTATATTGTTGCACAACACTATTTGCTCAGTGTTTCACAACAGTTACAACAATCTATCTCTGATTTTGTCACAGTCGATCCTGAAAGGTAACTTGAATGATTGTAAATTTTACACTTCTTACAAAGAATGTGAAAGTATAATTCCAATTGCTGATGAATTTCTTCACCCTCAATTTATTAGAGTACTAAAAGTCATTGTATTATTATTATTATTTTATGGCCAGCATTGGACCACTTAAGTCAATATAATGGTTAGATTCTTTTTAAATTCTGTCTCTTCTTCTTGTCCGCCCAATACTTCTTCATTCTTTCCGACCGTTTGTTTCTTTCTTCTTCCGAAACCACTCTTCCTTGTCTCTGATTGTTTGCTCCTATTGGCAGGATGATATTTTTGTCTTTGAGTACTGCAAGCGCCTTTGACTTATTTTCCAAATCTTCTAATGATATTTTCAACCTTCTCATGTCCTCCTTAATCTCTGTAATCCACCTAAAGTCACTCTTGCTATTCCACAACTTGTCAATTATTTTCTTGCTTATTCTATTTTCCGGTGTCCTTAAAAGATGTCCAATGAATGAAATTCTTTTCTTTTTCTAAAAGTCATTGTATACAAGACCAACTTCTACAAGGCACTTATCTTAACAGTTTTGATGCACTCCTCAAGAAAGCAATTGCCCTAGAAGGGTCCGCTATCAATCAAGTAAAATTTGTAATCCTGCCACACAATCTTCAAGTGAAACTGCAGATACACACTATAGTATATTTCGTACCTAGGGCCGAAAATGAGGTTTTGCCGGCTCGAGATAGTTTTTAAGTTCGAGACGAAGTCGAGAACTTAAATCTATCGAGAGCTGCAAAACCATTTCGGTCCGTGGTACGAACGCTATTTTTCACCACACTATACCCTATTACCACTATTCACCACTATAATAATGCACACTGATCGTCAACACATCTACAACTTTAAGGTTATGTGAAGAAATAATTTGAGGAATCAGCAAAAATAAAAATAAATAGTTGCTAGGCAACGGTGACAATAATCCAATTTTATATTGCAATGCTATGGATTTTCATTTTGATTGTGTATTTAAAACGTACTAGTGGTTGTCCTGTGGTCGAAACTCGACCAAAAATAATTAATGTACTGACTTCTCTATTTTCTCCCCACACTGTAAATAAAACATGCAATTGGAATCTCTTCCATTTGTTTTGATTTTCTGTTTACTTTTTGTTGTTATTTCGTCACCATCATAGCAACCCATATGGTCCATGTTAATTTTTTGAAGTTTTCAAATTAATTTTTTGTGCTTATTTGTTAGCCTATTTTAATTTTTAGAGGCATTCTGCACATCTACAGGTAAATATCTTTCCAACAGTATGCGTAGATTTTCCCTGCGATGCACACAACCTGAGAAAAAAGGTTTCAAAGAAACATGCTTGCCTATTAATATATAGATAGATTCATGTTTTAAGTAAGTAAGCGGACAGCTGATTTTGCGGCCCCGGCCTGTAAAAACCTTCTCGGTCCCCAAATTACGATGACAGCTGGCATGGCCAGCAAAACGTAACTTTCAGCCACTAATTAACGTATGTAATACAGCCAAAAACATAATAGTGTGGTGAAAAATTGTTTTCACCACACTATTATGTTTTTGGCTGTATTACATACGTTAATTAGTGGCTGAAAGTTACGTTTTGCTGGCCATGCCAGCTGTCATCGTAATTTGGGGACCGAGCAGGTTTTTACAGGCCGGGGCCGCAAAATCAGCTGTCCGCTTACTTACTTAAAACATGAATGCATTTTAAATACACAATCAAAATCCATAGCATTGCAATAGAATTGTGTTATTGTCACCGTTGCCTAGCAACTATTTATTTTTATTTTTGCTGATTCCTCAAATTATTTCTTCACATAACCTTATAGTTGTAGTTGTGTTAACTATCAGTGTGCATTATTATAGTGGTGAATAGTGGTAATAGGGTAAAGTGTGGTGAATAATAGCGTTCGTACCACGGACCGAAATGGTTTTGCAGCTCTCGATCGATTTAAGTTCTCGACTTCGTCTCGAACTTAAAAACTATCTCGAGCCGGCAAAACCTCATTTTCGGCCCTAGGTACGAAATATACTATTTTGTTAGGCATTGATGGCCTAAGACAAAGGAATGTTAAAAATTAAAATATTGTTTGCTTGAAGAAATTAAACTAATTGGGCTTTATTATTCCCTCTATTGGTCTATAATTATTTATAATGGCAAATTCATTGGATTTATAAAGAGATTAAAACTTAGCAAGCTTAAAACATTCAGGAAATGTACCGTACCTGATGAAATGCTCAGATTTTATATATCTAAGAGTGGTTTGCTAAATAAATGTTAATAAGCGTTCAGGACTTCATCATCCTAGCCAGGTGCTGACCCACCGCGTAAACTGTAAATGCACTTTCATGAGCAAAGTCATTGTTATTCACAACTATACCCGTTAGTTATGGGGACCCCCCCCCCACCCCTTGAGTCGCTAGAGTTTGCAAAATTTGAGCCTAGAGAGGTGGAAAAAATTCTTGAAATCATTGGCAACTCCTAGACATTGGGCTAGGAATATCCTCTGGTCTGCAGGAACAAAATTGGCAATTGGAAAGAAATCTTTTTACAGTTTCCGCCAGATATTTAAATAATTATGCCCCAAAACATTTTAGGATTGTTACCGGTTAAGTGTAGTTTATATCTAAAATAATTTATTTTAGTCAGCCACAAGGAAATACTTGAACTATTTTAATCTCTCGATATCGAATAGGCTAGTAAGTTCATTATTAAAGGGATAATCTCTGACTTGTTTACTTAATTTATCTCTTACTCTTATTTGATGTACTGTATTAGGTCTGACGTTATCCACGGTTTTAACATTTTGAAACAAGAATTCTTGTTAACGTGTTCGCTACAGAGCGTCGCATATATGCGACACCGCGATCATTGCCACGGACCAAGGTATACAATTAATTTAATCTTACACATAGACTGGCTGTCACTTGGTTAACAATACATGTAGACCACAGGCGAAAACCTGTTAAACAGTGATCATTTACTTTAAACTGCAATCGTGTTTGTAAATAATATACTCTTGTTTTTTTATATATTTGATAACCTTTTGTAATGTCGCATATTTGCGATGCCCAGTCTGTAGCGAAGACAATACTGAAAATAATTATATTTTTCTTGAAATAGCCCAAAACGCCGCATATATGAGACAGTTCATTTTTGCTTATGTTTTGAGGTGAAAGTAAGTAAAAAAAAAAACAGATCATTAAAGAACATTTTATAATTGAACAAATATAAAAGCAAAATAGGATAATGCAGCATACATACTGCATACATACATACAGTGATGCAGCAAAGTAAAGAACAGTTTTTCCAACTGTCTTGTTGTCACCAGTCATCATATTAAGCTACGCGCGCACTACGGCGGCACGGCACGGATGGTATTTTTAAGAGGGGGTGCGCGCACTAGGGCGGCACGGCACGGATGGACGGGACAGGACATCCGCAATTTAGGACAGTCGACAGTCTGCAAGCTAAAACTTGTCAGTAATGATGGATGTAGATTAAGTGGTGATAGTAGGTTTAGTTTTAGCAGAGGAAGAGGAGACAAGAAGGCGGAAGCAAAGATTTTGGATGCACCACATAAACAGGAAAAGACTAAGTTTTGGAGAGTTCCACACCTTGTTTCCTGGTCTTGTAGAGGGTGATGTGTAAAACTTACCTGATTGTTTCATAATAGATCCTATTTTTGCCCGTATATTTTCACGCCGGACGTTATTAAAATATTTCGGATGTCGCATGTTGTACAGTTTCAGATATTTCTCAACGAGAACAATCAAATAACTAACATCTATGTTTGTTTAGGAAACATAGTATACAACACACGAAAACATTGCAACTTTGACAGAGACCATTTGAGAATGGCGGAAGTTAAATGAAGCTGCCGAACGTCCGTTGCCGGCCGTCCCGCCGTAGTAGGTGCACTCATATTACATTCAATGTTATTAACTTTTAAAAATTGCCGTGCCGGCCGCCCGTCCGTGCCGTGCCGCCGTAGTGCGCGCGCAGCTTTATGCGACGCAGTTGTGCGTCAGTTTATGGGATCCCAGTTGGAATGTGTGAAGAAGTGAGTGAGTGTGTAGTCCATGCATGGTTATGTACAACTGTATTATTTCCACATTTATTAATTGTTTGAATACACAAACTTTTTTACCAAGTCAAAAACTGGTGGAAGGATTTGTTTTGAGGTATAGCAACTGTTATGACCCATTAACTATGTCAGCAACAAAAATTGGGAAGAAAAGAAGTTTAGACACTGTCTCATCTGTTACTAGCTCTTTTAACTATGTCCTTTATTAACAAAAGAATGGCAACAGCTAGTCAATTTAGATGAGATGTTTACTTCAGTATCCAATAGTGTATAGATGACAATGGCACTTGTACGCAGACGCACTGAATGTAAGGAATTATGTATTAAATGTTATGTAATGAACTTGGTTTGATGCAGTGCAAGAACAAATAGAAATCATAGATGACGCGTCAGATTACTCAGTGGAAAGAGATGAATTTGAAACTCAGTAAAACAACACCTACAACAGAAAATATTTAACTTGAGACTTGTAATATAAACTTGATTGTGATATGTAACAAATGAATGCAATTGAAATACTAAAAATGACAACCGACGCGGTGCCTTACTGACCTGTGCCACTCGCACCCCCGAAGCCCAAGGGTGGGGACAAAACTTGTCGTTTTGGGGCCAACATCCCGCTCCCCTTGAAAAGACCCCTTTCAAGAACGTTACATGAACTAACAAATTGTTATACTAAACTACGAAAACAAACATATTTATACAACGCTATTTAATTTGTTTTTAACTAATACAATATATCCTAACCTTATAAGGAAAAGGATGGGAGCAATATCAAAACTATCAATGTTTAACTCTTTTAATAGCTTACAAATATAACAGTAATAACAACAGATGAATAGTAATATTAAAGATGAAATCCACCTACGTAAAATTTAATGGCAGCAAAATAAATCTATGACATAAAGTCACTATGGAATGATCAACAAGCCACTGTCAACCAAATTTTAAAGATAACATAGTCCAATGTAGTACAAACAATTACTAAAAGACATAAAATCATTAGATTTTTCCCACATCTTGTTTTTGAGTTTAATTTGTCTGGCTACTTGGCTGGTATGCTGTGGCATAGATGGTTTCTGCCTTTGTTTTGGCCAGATGAGTTGCTTTCTTGGCTGCATCCATAAGTTTCTCTTTCCCTGTGACTGAGATTGATGGGTTTGATTGCTCCTGTGACAAAGCCAAATATGTTTTTGGAAACATATTTTGGAGCACATAATTAAATCCGTTTACTGCTTTCCGAGTATTTTTCCGGAAGCGATCAATTCCAAATGCTTCTATAGCTCTACTAAATCCATACAGGCTAGATTCAACCCATGCAGATCTCTCGGCAACAGTTAAGTTGGCATCTTCGTCATTCACCTTGTATACAACTTTCTCTATAACATTCTGAAATAGAAAAATAAATGGACGTAAATTTAACATAAAAAAAACTAATTAATGTAACAACTACACAAAACATTATTTATTCATTAAGGTATTTAATAACACAGAAACTTGAGAAAATTCCAAACATATACAGCTTACTCTAGCAAATCAGGCACTTAATATGAATTAGTAATAATGTTTCCTAAAATTACCTAGTTACTGAACACTTCAGGGTCATAATTCCTATTAGGTACCGGTACTATGGGTATATTTGCTAACACTTTAAAGGTGCGGTTTCCTCCAACTTCAGTAATCCCGCTGCGTGCTACGCAGAGTGCTTTTAGTATTCTTGAGTACAATGAGAGTACTTTTAGAATTCTTGAGTACAATGAGTGATTTTACTATTCTTATTGATAGGCACCTGACAGACATTAAAGTAGAATTTAATGAATACAGGATAACTTAACCCTTAAGCGTGCACGCTCGTTTTTTTAGCTGGAGCGTGCACGGGGGTCTTGTGGACCCCCAAATAAAGATGGGTATAAAAAACGTTTTTGATATTCAACTCTTTAAACTTTAGACGTAATATCTTTATTTATTTTCTGATATTGTTACATAAATTTTTTGATCCTACCATGTCCTTTTATTAATTTCAAAATAATAGTTTAAACCTTTAATTTTTTTCATGATGAAATGTAATATTGGTGTTAAAGAGGGGGAAATCGTAGTTAAACATGTTTTTCTTGCAAACAAGTATTATTTTTAACTAGCCACAGAGCCCGTTGTGGTTGAATACAACGATATCTGGGAAAATAACAGTTATGAAATCCATGCATCACTTTACTCACTAACAAGCTGCTATACCCGTGCTTTGCAACGGGAAGAAAATGTGACCTAGAGAGCTATTAAAGTGGTGCTGATGTACGTTTTAAAATACAGCAACTCTATGATTTAGTTTGAAAATATAAACTTATTTAAAAGAGTAAACCTACTTACTTTCAAACCCCTACTTTTGATGTTAATAGATCCATAAGAATATGACAACATACATTAGTGTAGCAATAGCAATAATAGCATCAATAGCATCAATTGCTTCATATTGATGATTCATGATTGACATGTTTTACAATAATTCTTCAATAGTCAAGCCTCTTCACATGGAGCTTACTATATAAATTAAAAAATAAAACTTTGAGCAATACTTTACAAAACGTATACAACCTCACTTAAAACTAGGGTTGCTTTCAGAGAGGTGAAAGCCAGTTGAGCGGAACAAACGTGATTTGATATTTGTATAAGTAGGCAACTAAATGTAAAAAAGTCAATAGATGTACTAATGCTTGTTTTATTGATTAAAATTATAATAATTCAAATTTGTTTTTACTACATCTTGTTATTCAGATACCTCTTCCAGAAGTGCATTATGGTAGTTTTGACCAGGAAAATATTACAGTACCGTAGTTGGAATCTGATATTAACATCCAAAAAGGGCATTAAAGTATAAAAAAGAGAAAGGAAATTTAACATTCAAATTCAACCTACAACAAAGACATTGGACTTCATTTTTCACCCTTACAATCGGTTAAAGTATTTAAGTATAAAAAAAAACAGTAAGTATTTAAAAAACGAGAATTAAATTAAAGTATAACATTAGGAGGGGAAATTTGACATTTAAATTCAACTGTGCAACAATAAACATTGGTCTTAATTTCAACCCTTGCAATCGGTTAAACTCATCTTTCTTTGCTGGAAATAATTTATGATTGTTAATATTCTTGATGGAGGATATGATTGTAATGTAACTGGAATGTAGGTCTTCTACCATTATTGGGACAATTTAGAGACGGAATTTTAATACTGGCCTTAATAAAACCATTGACCATTGCATACAGAAGATTTTGATGAAAAAGCTGGCTACAAATTTAACATGGGGATGGAATGTCTAGTTGTATTGATAGTCAAAGATCAAACATAGGCCTACAAAAAATGTAGGGCTATTTTAATGCAAGACTCAAATGTACACCTTTTAAAGACTAAAATGAACTGAATTATCAATAAGGCATTTCAATGTGTAAAAACTTAAAAACCATCAGTTTGTCTTGGTAAAAACCATCGTGTAATCGGCAGAAAACAGTAATTTAGATCAGCGCAATCTGTAGGTGGCAATGCTACAACTTTAACATGGGGATGGAATGTCAAAGCTATAACCTACACTTTTAGTACAGGTAAAATCCTACCAAAAGACTAGTAGAAAATATAAAAATTAGTCCGTTCATGAAACTTGCAGGGAACATAGTACTTACCATTAGTTTTTGAAATCTGATGAGTTCCTAGTTATGGGGGGGGGGGGTGGAAGTACCATTTTAGGGGTTAAAAATTGGGGGTAGTGATTTTTGGGAAAATGTTTATTTATGGGATCCAATCAAGTAGGGTGTCATTTTCTATGCTTCTTAGGATGTAGAATTGAAAAAAGCATAATAAAGTCAATACAGTACAACCAACATTTTATGAGAAATACAAATAACACTAGACACAACAAACCTGGCCGCAGCAAACCTGCCGACTAAGCGAATTTCCATATATCTGAATTGATTTTTAATTAAATCTATTAGGTTTAATGAGTAGGTACCTAGGTTTGCTGCTACAAGGAAACTAATAAAATGTATTTTTTGGTAAAATATTATAGCTTAGTATATTATAAATTTGCCAAGTTTGATCAAAATATATCCATAAACAAACAAACTACATCATTTAACATTATACTCCATAAGAATGACATGGGAATTTTACATTTACAGTTTTTTGAATTTGCTCCATTACCAATAACTCTACAAAGACAGAATGCAGGATAACCTTGTTTTTTAGGATGCAGAATCGAAAAAAGACATAATAAAATCATTACAACTTAATAAGACAGTTTATCGGATAAAGACAAATTTATTCATGAAAAACTAAATATTACAAATCAATTAAGGTAAAACAATCCAGTTAATATTAATTACTCGCCTTTGGCTCGCTGGGGGCTCCACCTCCACGCCCCCTAGCTGTTAGTCAACTAAAAATTTAGGAAGGGGTGATAGGCTGTCACCAAGAAGCCTGGGAAATGTCTAGTCTGTAGCACACCTAGAAGTGGTTTAGATAGCACTCACAGCATTTCTTAAGTTTCTGTCAGATTTGAAGCAGTTAACACAAGCAACAATGGCGGGTTTCTATATATCTGTGAGGGGGAGTTGACATTTAAGGATAATGTTAATTAATTATTGGGGGGTGGGTTTGAATCGTAAGTATCCATTGTTTATAACCAAAGGCTAATAACTGTGAAAGATTGTTCAAGTCCTTAGCACAACGAAAGTGATTTAAGAATTTTTTGTGAGGGGGTGTTCAATTATTTGTTGAGGAGGGGTCAATATTTGATAATGCAAATTTCTTAAATATTTAGGGTGTTGGTGTTAGTATAAGATGTCAAGTACCTAGCAAGTTTATGAATTATTGACAGTAGACCATTGCACAAGTAGTGCCCATTAAAAATATTTTGCAAATCCACCATTTCAAATATTTTGAAGTGAAGAGGTGAAAATTTTAAAATATCGCCTTTGTGAGTATTCCTTTAGAGTTAGAGTATTAAACATGCATACGGTATAACTTATATGTCCGAAAAAATAAAAATAGTTTACAACATGTCCCAAATACAAGCAATTTGAAAAAAAGTAAGAACTATGTAGTGTTTTGAGGGGTGAAGGGGGCAATTTTCGGTGGCGCCCAAGAGGGTTTTGTATAACATTTATTTGATGACTGTGAAAATTCCCTAAAATCTTCACTAATTCTTACCACTTTTAGATATCGCCGTTTAAAGAAAAATATGTTTTCTCAAAAATTAATATTTTTAGGTGTTAAAATTTGAAAATGTAACGTTTTTGATTTTGCTGGGTTGTTCAGGAATATTTTTTACTATTGTTCCAGGGAATTTTTCTAGCCTCTTGTTAAATGATGATTGTTCTGATGCCCAATTCCAAAGTCCCAAACTTTCAATGCTATTTCCCCAAAGAATAACATGGTGGGGGGAGATATTGTTAAATCGGATTATTTTTGGGTAATTTTTGGATAATGTTACTTTAGGAAATGGTCTAGGTTGTTTGGGACCAAGGCTAGCAATCCTACCAAATTTCACATATCCAGCTAATCTTAAAGTGGGTAATGTGATTTAGACCGATGCACCTGTGGGAATAACATTGGGAAAGTTGATATTTAACATTGGCGGGGGTCGATATTTGGCTGGGGGGGGGGGGGGGGGTGTTGTTCATTAAAGTTATGAAAACATGTAATGGGTGAAATTCAAAACACAGGAGAATACAAAGCAATAATATTTACCAAAAAAAAATCACTTATGTATGAAAAAATAGTAAAACCCGTAAAAAGTTTGAAAGAAATTGACCAAATTTTAAAAGTGGGTCGTTTTTTGAAAGTTGAAGGAGTGGGATTTTTGAAAATCACTCAAAAATATTTTGTAGAAAATTTAATTCCTATCCATGAAAATTCTTTCAAAACTTTTCTAGCTCTTGCCGTTTTCAAGCTTTAAGCGTTTGAAAAAAGTGTTTTGTGGTTTTTAGGTTTCCGCGCATTTTGGATTTTTGGGGGTTGAAATTTGAAAATGTGTCTTTTTGAATGTTTTACAATGGTGCTAAATTTCAGGTCTCTAGCACGTTTGTAGATGGTCATACCAAAGTCGGTAACATTAAATGTTAATCACCATATGAATAACATTGGGGGGGGGGGAGATTTGAAATTCAGAGGGGGTTAAAATTTGAAAATGTGACCTTTTGGAATTCCCCGGGGGCTTTGGGCCCAAGACCAAAAAGTGGGACAAATTTCAACTCCCTACCCCATATAGAGTGTGTGAAGTGTAAAACATACAAAAGTGCCTAAACATTTGTATACCTGATCAGTGAGTGAAATAATAATTGATATTAACTGAATTATTTTACCTTAATTATTTGTCATATTTATTTTTTCATTAATAAATT